TGATTGAGAAAGGTGCTGATGTCAATGTATCTGATGAAGATGGACAAACTCCTTTATTCAAAGCAGCTGAAAATRRCAAAATACAAGTTGCACGATTGTTGATTGAGAAAGGTGCTGATGTCAATGCTTGTTCCAAGTTTGGAAAAAATCCTTTAACCATGGCACTTCAATKGTGCAACGAGGACAYTGCAATGGCATGGATAAACATGGGTGCCGGTGTCAATGTTTGTAACAATCATAGAGAGATTAAAAATCTACATATTGCTTTGGATTTTGAYATGTATGAAGTTGCAAAAAAACTGTTGGAATTTAACGCTACAGATATGGATGTTGAAGATCACAATGGTCGAACGTGCATATTTCATTTGCTAGGGATACGTGCTGACAACGATTTAGAAGACGGAGAGTATACTGACAGTAAAACTGATGATAGACAAGAACTTACTCGTAAAGTGGCTTTTTCTTGCAGTAATATTGATAAGAGGGATAAGCAAGGTCGAACTGCGCTCTCTTATGCCATCGAAAGAATGAATTATGATSGACGATATGAAAGTCCGGCACGAATAATCATCGACGCTGGTGCTAATGTTAACTTAGCAGATGATAAAGGACAAACACCCTTGTTTTATGCATTGAGGCCTTCCGCCGTACGCTTGTTATTAGAACATGGTGGAGATTTAACTCTTCGAAACAATCAGCAGGAAACCGCCTTGATTCATATTTTGGCTGAGAAAGATTATTTTCAAGATGACCTATATTTCGACTACGACGAAGGATCACATTTATGTGAGCAGTACATTAGTGTATTGCTCAATGACGTAGACACTACTTATGTGAACGCAAGAGACATGTATGGCAGAACAGCAATGTTCTCTGCAACTACAATATTTGATGATAGTAAATTGTTTGAAGCTATAGCGACGATGCTTGTTCGCAAGGGGGCTGTTGTAGACGATACCGATAATAACGACATGAGCGTTTTATCGTATTTTGTTAGGAGACATTGTTGCAACAGTTTTGAGAATAACAGMAATCTTTCAGAAAGCCTATCATTTTTTATCAAGAATGGCATACGTAATTCAGCAATCTTCACCTCAGCATTGAGCTATTTGTATGCTGTATTACCAAGCTACTTTCACAGTTCTAATAYATTGAATAGAAGACAGATATTTCCSAATGCTATATCTGTTGCATACAAATACGCCAGTCATAAAGTGCAATCTATGGACAGCTTAAATGCACTACTCGACGACGAAAGAATACCAGAAGCAATGGATTTAATGGTGATGTTAGGTGTCAATCCCAACAGTGCCGATTCGTATGGAAATACTGCCCTTCATYGTGCCATTATGCTTCCATTCCATGGGGTATCACAAGAGAACGTAAAGAAAATACTGGAGACGCTTAGAAACCATGGGATACGAACCAACATCAGAAATCAGAAAAAAGAGACGCCTCTACATTTCTGTCTTTCAGAACAAGCATGGGAATTAGCAAGCGAAAAAGACACATGGGATGGAATCACGACAGTGGTGGAGGTTTGTGAGTTTCTTCTTCAAGATGGTTCGCTCATTAGTGAAGCAACGAGAAATGGAGAGACTGTGTATCATTTAATAATGAACTTGTTTCAGAGGGGACTATCTATGAATGATGGGAAGATTCAAGATGTTGTTTTATCAAGTGCAGTTAAACTTCTCGAAATGTTTTCCAAAGCAGCTGGCAAAGATTTAACTGTCTTAAAGAAGGTGGATCACAAACTTAATTCTCCTCTACATCTTTGGGCTTCCTTATCTCTCCCGCCAAATCAAAACTACTGTGGAGATCCTTTAATGAAAGGCATCACTTTTCTAAAATTTCTTGAAACCATATTCAAGCACTTATGGAAGCCAGGAATG